CCCCCACCGCCCCGAGCGAGCCCCGCCGCGCAGCCAAGCCCGCCAGCGCGCAGCAAACATCGCCGCCCTCCCGCCGGGCTGCTCCCGAGCCAAAAGCGGGGCTCGGCCTCCGACGACGCCCCCGGCGCTGATTGGGGCACGCGGAGAGGGGGGAGGAAAGGACCGCCCACAAGGGGGGGCTCTGCGTGTCTAGAGGCAGTCCGAGCAAAAGGCGCTGCGAGCTGACGGCCCCGGCTGCAGGACGTAGCGTTGCAACCCGCGTGGCTCGTCCAGCGAGTGTTTCCCTCTGCACATTTTGCTGTTTCCAGTGGAAGAGAATGTCTGTAGCTCAGGGTTGGACTGTGGAGTCCTGGGTGCTCTCTGAGCTTGGTGGTTTGCCTGCAGACATTTTGTTACCTGGCTAGGTAGCATCACCGGGGCAAGCGAGTGTGGGGTTTTCTTCCTGTTTATATACAGTAGCTTGCCCAAGATAGTGTCTATAAACAGGGAGCAGACCCCACACTTGCACACTTAATACAATTGCTGAGAAGATTCCAGGAGCTTCCTTGAAGCTCTGAATACAAGTTTTTGTTTTTCATCACACTGAGGTTGAACCACAATATGGCGCATCATGGTTTCCTTAGCTGTGCTTTATTAGCTGGGCTCCCATTTCCAGTGGGCCAGTCTGCCTAACACATTCAGCGCTGCTGGCAGAAAACTAGGAAAAGCAAGGCTATTCTGCTGAAACCTATAGCAGCCATTATGGCTTAGCATCCCAGCTCCATGTGTGGCTGAGAATTCCTGCAAAAGTATACAAAAATCCATAGCATCACCGAGGTTGGAGACACGTGAACCACTGGAAGATAGCTTAGTTATTTCACCCATTTCTGCTTGTATGCTTCTGCTAAAAAGGGTATAAAAAGAGAAAAACAAAGAGATAGTGTGCCAAGGCCTACCAGATTCTGGGTCTAAGAATCCAGAGAACTATTTGAAGGCAGCAAAGATATATGTATAGTTCCCTTTTCAGCCATCTACAGTCATCCAGATTTTGTAGCTAATTAATTTACATTCACATTACATTATTGGTACCAATTACAATTTAATTGTAAATTTAATTGTAACTGGTAGCAGTATTAGAGCATGTCAGGGTTTTTTGGGGGGGATTTTTCTGTCTTCATTTCTATCTTGTTCTATATTATATTAAAACAACATTCAACATTGTTTTAACCTTCTGTAAACTGCCCAATGTCATTGGTGAGAACTGAAATAATCCATCTTCTTTTCAGAGAGTAGATTATTACTCTATTAAACTTTGTTGATATACTGACTTGGCAATGACCAAGTTGCTCAGTTTGCACATGCTAGGCTTGTAAAAGACCCTATTAGACATGTTGTGTGAACAGCTTCATCAAACTATGATTTACAAAAAAAGCATAACAGCAAATCCTATTATGCCTTAGTATGAATTATGACACCAATCTCGAACTTGCATCAAAGAACATGTTTGATGACATGTTTATGCAACATACGTCATAGTTTGCATAACTGTGTGATATGCTCAATTAGTCAAATTTGCTGAGTTCAGTTAAGATGTCAAACCAACCCAATAAATCCCATTATAACTTACAGTGCTGTGTGGATCAGGCTTGTAGCTGTACATATTTGCAAATTAAATTAAGCTTCAGGTGGTGACTATACCACAGTAGCCAGGTTCAGACATTATACTGGGCCTCAGAAAAAAAACACATCAGAGCTTAACACAACACACTTTTAACTGGGGAAAAAAAACCCTTACCATGATTTTCTTTATACCCA